TATATATATATATATATATATATATATATATATATATATATATATATTGTGTGTGTGTGTGAGAGAGAGAACCGGCCATCCCAGTCATTTGAGGAAGCTATGTTTTCTAGTTTTTATGTTGCTAAAATTTACAGTTTCCTCAAATGTTTGAGGTGGCCAAAAATTTATATATTGGCCACCCCCTGTCTTTGACATTGTACCTTGCATTGGATTAAATTGCTCTCTCCACTCGCATCTGTCACTCTGCACCGGCTCAGACAAGATAAAACAAATAGCTAAAAACCTACGTATTTAAAAACTATTAATATCCATCCATTTTATTCTGCTTTTCCGGGGTCATGTCGCGGGGGTAGCAGCCTAAGTAGGGAGGCCCAGACTTCCTTCTCCCATGCCATTTGGGCCAACTCTTCTGGGGGAACCCAAAGGCATTCAGGTCAGCTGAGAAACATAGTCCCTCCAGCATGTCCTGGGTCTTCCTCTGGGTCTCCTCCCGTGGGGAAGTAAATGGTAATTGGACTGTACTTATATAGCGCCTTTCTATCTTATCGAGATACTCAAAGCGCTTTACAATCTGTGCCCTCATTTACTCATTCATACAGCACTCTACTAGATCTCTGCAAAGCCAATTGAACATATCATTCTAAAGAGACTAATCAGTGATTTATCACATTCATACATCGATGGGACACCTCACCAGGGAGGTGTCCAGGAGGCATCCTAACCAGATGCCTGAGCCACTTTAACTGTCTCTTCTCGATGTGGAGAAGCAGCGGCTGTACTCTGAGTCCCTCCCGGATGACAAAGCTTCTCACCCTATCTCTAAGGGAGAGTCCAGACACCCTGTGGAGAAAACTTATTTCGGCTGCTTGTGTCCTTGATCTCATTCTTTTGGTCACAATCCAAAGCTCATGACCATAGATGAGGGTAGGAACGTAGATTGACCGGTAAATTGAGAGCTTTGCCTTTTGACGCAGCTCTTTCATCACCACGACAGACCGGTACAACACCCGCTTCACTGCTGATGCCGCACCTATCTGCTTATCTAAAAAAGTTAAATCTGGTTCTCTGGACATTACAAAACAAAACAAAAATATGGTAGAAACTGTTGGATATTATTTTTTATCTAGACTGGTCCTATGGTTTTGATCTGCTCAGAACTGGGTCATAATTTCATTATAATCCCGCCTTTCATCCGAAAGACTTCTTCAGTCTGAGGTTCTGTATTCAGCTCAGTCTTATAAATAGCACCTTCTCAGAGTGGATCAACCAGTTTGCTGCTGACAGCCTAAACCAGTTGCTCACATGACCAAGGAGGACCATCAGCCTAACCATGGATCGTTAGTACCCTGATGGCTGTTTGCTTTTCACAGGGGGTTGAGTGATACTAGCAACAACAACATTGTAAAAAGGGGACAGTTTAACACGAAGGCCTCCACCCCTGTTTAATGATGGACGGTTTCTTTTCACAAAGATGGCTTTTTTTACTCCTTTCTCAAACCATTGTTCCTCTCTATCAAGGATGTGAACATCTTCATCCCTGAATGAGTGACCACTGGCCTGGAGATGAGTGTAGACCGCAGAGTCCAGGCCTGATGATGTTGATCTTCTTTGCTGGGCCATCCTTTTGGCCAGTGGCTGTTTAGTTTCCCCGATGTAAGTCTGATCACAGCCTTCCTGACACTGAACAGCATACTACTCTGTTTGTGCCAGGGGACTGGATGTTTGGGATGAACCAGTCTTTGTCGTAATGTATTTTGGGTTTTAAAAGCCACTGGGATGTTATGTTTAGAAAATAAACGTCTCAGTCCTTGATCATGTGAGCAGCTGGTTTCAAACTGCTTGATCCACTACGAGAAGGTGGTATTTATAAGACTGAGCTGAATACAGCACCTCAGACTGAAGAAGTCTTTTTGATGAAAGACGAAACGTTTCTACAATTTTTTATTTATTTATTTTTTTTAATGTCCAGAGGACCAGATTTAACTTTTTTAGATTTTTCTACCTGGATTATTGAGCATGCATTAGGATATTTGCTTATCTATTTCCCACTCCATCTTTCCCTTATTTGTGAACAAGACCCTCCACTTGGGGCAGGAGCTTACTCCCTGACCCGGGAGGGCACTCTACCCTTTTCCAGCTCAAGACCATGGCCTCGGATTTGGAGGAACTGATCCTCATCCCAGCCGCGTCACACTCTGCTGCGAACTGCTGCAGCAAAAGCTGTAGATCATGACCTTATGAAACCAATGGGACCACATCATCTGCAAAAAGCAGAGATACAATCCTAAGGCCACCAAAATGGATCCCTTCAATACCCTGTCTGTGCTTAGAAATTCTGTCCATAGAAATTATGAACAAAATCTGTCACTATCACTGGGAACAAGCCTGACTTACTGCCGGCAATGCGGACCAAGCTCGACACCGTTCATATAGGGACCTAACAGCCCATATAAAAGGTCCTGGTACCCTATACTCCCAGAGTACCCCCCACAGGGTTCCCCGAGGGACACTGTCGAACGCCTTCTCCAAGTCCACAAAGCACATGTCGACTGGTTGGGCAACCTCCCACGCACCCTCCAGGACCCTGCTGAGGGTGTAGAGTTGGTCCAGTTTTTCAAGACCATGACGAAAACCACACTGTTCCTCCTGAATCCGAGGTTTGACTATCCGATGGAGCCTCCTCCCCAGAACCTCTGAATAGAACTTACCAGGGAGGCTTAAGAGCGTGATCCCCCTGTAGTTAGACCACTTTATGGTCCCCCTTTTTGAATAGGGGGACCACTAACCCAGACTGCCAATCCAGGGGAACTGCCCCCAATGTCCACGCAATGTTGCAGAGTCACGTAAGCCAACAAAACCCCTTCAGGAACTCGGGGCAAATCTAATCCACCCCCGGGGCCCTGCCACTGAGGAGCTTTTTAATCACCTCTGTGACCTCAGCACCAGAGATTGACGAGTTCAACCCAGAGTCCTCAGGCTCAGCTTCCTCAATAGAAGATGTGTTGGTGGGATTGAGGAGGTCTTCAAAGTACTCTGCCCACCGACCCACAACGTCCCAAGTTGAGGTCGGCAGCACACCACCTTCACTATTAGCAGTGTTGTTAGTGTACCGCCCAGCCCCCCCCTCCCCCCTTATGCTTGAACACAGTGTTCGTTATGGACAATCCATGACAAGCAGTGAAGTCCAATAACAGAACACCACTCGGGTTCAGATCAGGGGGGACGTTCCTCCCAATCACACCTCTCCAGGTCTCACTTTCATTGCCCATGTGAGTGTTGAAGTCCCCCAGCAGAACAAGGGAGTCCTTAGGAGGGGCACTCTCCAGTACCCACTCCAAGGACTCCAAAAAGTGTGGGTAATCTGAACTGCAGTTTGGCGCATAAGCACAAACAACAGTCAGAACCCGTCCCCCATATGTAGGCAGAGGGAGGCTAACTTCTCGTTCACCGGGGTGAACCCCAACATACAGGCACCAAGATGGGGGTGGGGGCAAAATGTATGCCCACTCCTGCTCTGCGCCTCTCACCAGGGTCAACTCCAGAGTGGAAGAGTGTTCAACCCCTTTCAAGGAAACTGGTTCCAAAGCCATGCGTTGAGGTGAGTCCGACTATTTCTAGCTGGAACCTCTCAACTTCACGTACCAGCTCAGGCTCCCTCCCCACCAGAGAGGTGACATTCCACATCCCAAAAGCCAGCTTCTATAGCTGAGGATCAGACTACCAAGGTCCCCTCCCTTGGCCACCACCCCTCCCACATTGCACCCGACCCCTCCCTGGGCTGCCACCTTAACTTGGTGGAGGAGTACGAGTGTCCCAATTATCCTAGGAGCTATGCTGTCAGGGGCTTCATGCCCCTAGTAAGGTCACCCAAGGCAGACAGGTCATTGGTAAAGGACCAGACAAAGGACAGCCCAAAGACCCCTTATGACGTATAAAATTAATGGAACCAATGTTCCCTCGCCCAGACGTGGGTCACCGGGGCCCCACTCTGGAGCCGGGCCTGGAGGTGGGGCATGCTGGTGAGCATCTGGTGGCCGGGATTTTACCTATGGAGCTTGGCCGGGCGCAGCCCAAAGAGGAGACCTATGTCCCCTTCCCATGGTCTCACCACCTGTGAAAGGGGCCAGAGGGGTTGCTTGCAACTATAAACATTCACAATTCAATTCCCTCAGCAATGGGGAACATCACATATTGCTTGTTTTGTTTTATGATCGAGGTTAATTTGATTTTGGACTCTTGGAGTTTGTCATGGTGTTTGTGTCACACTTTAAAAGTGTGATACAAACACAATGTTGGAGTCATACTGGATACATTTGTTTGCATCCTTCAGTACTTTTATATCATTAATTCTTTTGAAAAATCATTTGGAATCTATTCTGAGTTGCACGTTATTTCTGACCAACACTGCAAGCCATCTATATAAGTGAGGTTTTCACTCACTGATAGTCATCCTGCAGATGTACTTTAGGTAGGGGTGCACCAATTGCAGTTTTCTGGCCGATCACCGATCTCTAAAAGGCCTGACATGCCAATTCCAATTTTGGCCAATACCAATTTTGTTTTATAAGCGACACTGTCAGGTGTTATAAGGTCACAACGCACCTTCAATTTTCCAATCTTATTTTAATGAAAAATATACCCTTGAACAATATCCTATAAACAATACAAACTTGTTTTAACTGGTCATGAGGTAATGCTCTGAAATATAAATGAAGTTTAGATAATTGTTGTTAAAACTACAAAATAATATGTAAAATTGTTTTCTCATCCAAGTATCGGCCGATCTCAGATTTCTCAAAATTGGGGCCGATAAATCGGCCATTTGATAAATCGGCCATCCGATTTATTGGTGCACCCCTAACTGTAGGTGTTGAGATACTGTTGTTTAAAACGAAACATGGGGCTCATTTATTGTTTTGTTTTTGTTTTGGTTGACAGGTGTGTTTGTTTCGTGTCTGGGAAGAATGGGTTGGCCTTGACCAGGTGGAGGACTACCTGAGTTTTCTGGAATATCTGTTGTGGGTCTTCACCCCCCTCATTGTTGTCTTTATTGTGCCAGTCCTCATTGTTATTTTCCTTTACCTCTCCATACTCTTCCTTCATGTCTATAAGGTACGTAAACACAAATTCTGCATTTTCACTTTGAACTCTAAAGTCAAGGTTCATAAAGTTTATTGTCAAAGACACAGCAAAACAGATGAAGCTAATGTTAAAGCGCTAACTTTTATCATCCACTGCTGTCTCTGACACAGTAAGACTGTCTGAAATGTGACAAAGTTGTAAGTGAACACAAGATGAAACAGTTCATAAATCACAAGTAAAACATCCATGTCCCGTTCAGAGGTGAGCTTAAGAAATTAATCCGGTCAATCGAAACCAAAAATGCAGAGCAGAACTCTGCCATGCTGAAGCAGAATGATGCATTCAGTGTGTGTTGGACGTCTCCCTTGTGTTATTTACTATAATGAATTAACTCACTTTAGCAATTCTCTTTGTGGTTAACTACTTTTATAAATTTACTACAAAGATGCTGTGCATCATCATCAATATTGTCTTGGTAATAAATCTGGTTTATTAAAGTAAAGATGTGTGAAATGTGTCTAGACAGCATGAGTGTTACAAAACATGCTGGGTAGGAATTATGTGTGCAATGTTTCTGGCTTTTTGCGATGTTTCTTTTTATTGAAAGTCTTTTTTCTTAATCTTTTTCAATTTGAACAAACAAATCAGAAAACAAAAATCTCTCCCACCCCTCCTCTTCCAAACCAGATCAGTCACACACAAATGAAGTTTTCCACATACAACACAAAAGGCTGCCAGGTGTCCCAAAATGTTTTAATAGAACCACTCAGGGCATCTCTTTTTTTTTTCTAGATGAATATGATACATCACATCTCTTATCCAATGTACATCTGCTGGGGTATGTAGGTCCTTCCATTTGCACAAAACCAGTCTTCTGGCCAGAAGAGAGCCAAAAATAATTCCATCCTTCTCATACTTGTTAAAGGACATAACCACAGGTCACCACTTGCTCTTGCCGAGGTTGGACGCTTTTCCCCCTCCTCTCCGCTTTGCTTTGCTGCTCTGTCTCTGTGAAACTGCTTTTGAGCCTCTCTTCCATATCTTCCGAACCATAATTATGGACTTGATTTGATCAGTTGGTCCCTTAACACAATTGATAACATTTCTTCAAAGTGAAGACAGGCTTTAGGCGAGCCGATTTGCCCTGTTGGCACGCACGCAGCTGGATATGTCATCGACTTGGAAGACTTGATGATCTCTGCTGCCATTTGTGGATTTTAAGGACGCATTTATAATTGGATTTATGATAACTGGTTCCTGCTTTTTGGATTCATCTGGTTGCTGGTCTATCAACAATCAAGGAAGTCATCATCAGCAAATTTGGACCTGATCAGGCTGCTTGTCTTATGATAGCTTGGTTCATGCCTCGAGTACCCAGACTCAAATGCTTTTGTCAGAATGGATCAGATCTCTGAGATTTTACTCAGGCATGTTCTTTTGGTGTGGCCACGTAATTTGAACATTTCTGAACCCAAGTGGAACAACACAGACTCAAGGTAGACGTCATTAAGTTCAGCCTGTCCCCCAAACAACTGTGTGTTTATCTAAATTTGGCTCCGCTGGCTGGCCTTGAAAGGCCACCTTATCTGAATTCGCCTGGAGAACATGTGATCTGACGCTGTGCACCCCACCGAGGAATTTCCATCTGATAACCAGAGGAAATTAGCTGAATAAACATTGTGTCATCATTTCAGGACTCTTGGATTCCCATAGGTGTTGTCCTTGGCCATTCCCCGACATCACTCGAGAATGTTTACGGATCTCACCGGAGGGAACTGGTTGATTATTCTATCCTTATCAGAACTCTTACAGTGCCCTCAAGAGCATCCTTGGACATTGCTCACTGCTCTCGTCGTTCCCCCCACCCCCACCCCTCCGGAATGTCTACGTCACTATGTGCTTGTATGTGCGAGGTGATTTTTTTAATATTAAGGTTTTTTTTCTTCTCAGCCAAGAAGAAAGAGTTTAATAGGAATTTTCTAGCCTCCAATTCCTACATGTGTCCAGTTTCACTACTTTTTATCTGTCTAAACAGATCTCACTTGTAAATTAGTTTTCTAGGCTCAATGTGATTGATCTGTTTAAATAAAGGTTGAATGAATGAACAGGTACCACCCTGAGCAGTGAGATACATAGTGATGGGTGTACAGTGTTGCCACATATCCCAGAGAAGGTGTCAAAAACAGATTGCCAAAAGTTCTGCAGTTTAGGACAGGTCCAGAATGTATGCAAGAGTGTAGCTGGAGTTTGTTTACAATAATTACATGGGGGGGGGGGGGGGGGGGTTAGGTCGGCTTTGATCTTGGACAGCTTGTCTTTGGACCAGTGCAGCAGGTGCACCACCTTAAATTGAATTACAGCTCGTCTCAGACAGATTGAGGATGAGTAAATGTTCTGAATGCTCTTTCCCCAGGTTGAGTCTGATATGGATTCCTCCAAGTTTGTTTCCCATTTCAGTTTAAGGGAGTCCAAACTGGTCTCATGGTATGAACTGAGCAGTGTATAGATCATGCGGAGGACCCCACTAGCATCAAAACTGCATTCCAAAATCTTACCAAAAAATGTTTAGAGGTGTACAAAGGAAAACAATTGATTCAATTCAGTTTATTTATATAGTGCCATATCACAACAAAGTTGTCTCTGGGCACTTTACAGGAACATTCATATACATAGAAATGCCAATTACCGGTAGTAAAGTTCTCTATTTAAGGAAGCCAGCAGACTTGTTGAATCTTCACTTGGTCGCAGTCTCCCATCCTGAGCAAGCACAATGGCAACAGTGGAAAGGAAAAACTTCCTTTTAACAGGAAGAAACCTCCAGCAGAACCAGGCTCAGGACAAGCTGCAATCTGCTTTGACCGGCTGGGTTTAAGAAGACAGGAAGGAGAGACAAACGAACACAGAATTGCAGGTCCAGATATAGGTGCAGGTGTACCTGAAAGACAAAAACACATGTCAGGGATAGAAAAAATAATTACAAATACAGAACAGGTTGAGCAGAGTAAAGACAGTAGTATAGTGAAAAAATGTGGTCAGTTTGTCCTCCAGCAGTCTAAGCCTATAGCAGCATAACTACTGGATAGCTCAGGACACTGTTCAGTGATTTGTAAACATACATGAGTATTTTGAACTGGATTCGAAAGTGAACCGGTAACCAGTGCAGTGAGGCCAAAACTGGTGTAATGTGCTCTCTTTTGCCTGTACTGGTTAAAAATCGGGCTGCTGCATTCTGGACCAGTTGTAGTCATGCAATGGAGGTCTGACTGATACCAAACAGGAGCAAATTGCAGTAATCAAGCCTAGATGTAATGAATGCATGTATTACTGTCTCCAGGTTCTTTTTGGACAATATGGGCTTCAGTTTAGACAGCCGCCTCAGTTGGAAGAAACATGATTGAACAATCATGTTTACATGATTGTTAAGCTTCAGGGAAGGGTCCATTATCACGCCCAGATTAGTGACTCTTTGTTTTTCTGACAGGGTTAAAGTTGAGAGGTCGATACAGTGGTTTGTGATCATGTCGTTGGGAGGGAACAACATGACTTCAGACTTCTTTTCATTGAAACTCAAGAAATTTAAAGCCATCCAGTACCTTATGTCAGCCAGGCAGTTGAGCAGCGGTTGAATAGAGCATGTACCATTGTGTCTTGGGGGAAGTAAATTTGACAGTCATCGGCATAGAAGAGGAAGGGGATGTTGTGTTTCCGGAAAATAGCACCAAACGGCAGCAGGTATAAAGAGAATAGGAGGGGACCCAGGATGGACCCCTGCGGAACCCCCCATTTAAGCTCTGCCTCTGCTGAACTAAAATCCTTGATGGAGACACAAAAGGATCTGTCAGTGAGGTAAGATCTGAACCAATTGAGGGCTGATCCTGTGACGCCCACCCACTGCTCCAACCTAGCAATGAGGATCTCATGGTCGATGGTGTCAAAGGCGGCTGTGAGGTCCAACAGGACAAACAGCACAGAATCACCGGTATCTGTGAATCTGAAGATGTCGTTAAAGACCTTCAGCAGGGCAGTTTCAGTGCTGTGGAGACTGTCCATATCACATTTGGGTTAGAAGTGTAGGTTGATATTGACTGTTTAAAAGGCAGCTGAGAGCAGAGTAATGTAGAGGGGGAACTGGATCAAGTTAAGACTCAGGCAGCAGCATTTTGGCTCTCTAAAGCCACCCAACTGGGAGAAGGGGTCTCCCTAGTCAACCAGAATAGAAGAGCTCTGATTAGCTGCCCAGTAATAGTGCATGAAATGAGGAAGTGACATGCCTCCAAGCCTGTGGGGTTGGTGTAAGACCCTCTTGGCAATCCGTGGATACTTTTTATTCCAAATAAACACTGATATCTGGCTGTTCAGATTGTTGAAGAACGATTTAGTAGGTAAGATTGACAGATTCTGAAGCAGGTATAGAAATTTAGATAGAATATTAATTTTTACAGAGTTTATTCTACCCCCCAGAGTGTGAGGTAGGGATTGTCATCTAACAATGTCCTACTTAAGGTTCGCCATGAGAGATAGATAATTAGTTTTATAGAGGTTCTTATGATCTCGAGTTATCCAGATCCCAAGTGGCTACGTTCTCTGTCTAATTGTAATATCTCATCTGTTAACTGTCCTTATCGTACCAAGCCTTTCTTTTTTGTTTGTTTTTGCACAATAAGAAATTATTTGACCCCTCAAAGAGGCCTTTAATGTTTCCCAGACGGTACAGAGTGGCATACCTGGTTTTCGGTTAACTTCAAGGAAAAAATCTATTTCAGATGTAAGAAATTTGGTAAGGTCTTCCTCAGATAAGGTAAAAGTTGAATCTCCAAAGATGATATGCAGATTTTGTGACCAGGATAAGCAGTTTAATATTAAGTGGACCATGGTCCGAGATGACCATTGCCCCATAGTCACATTCTTTCACCAAAGGCAGAGTTTTTTTAATCAAGAAAAAAATGGTCAGTTCAGGAGTACATACTTATGAATGGGGGGAAAAAATGAATATGATCTTGAAGTAGGGTTACGGATGCGCTACACATCAG